GATTTGGGGGGTCTCCCTCTCTACACACACACACACACACACACACACACACACACACACACACACACCTGCTTCTCTCCTGACTTTTACTTTGGTTCTGTTTCTTCAATCGCTTGTATTTCAGCCAGACATTAGCATCTCCTTGTGTCTAATAAAACATCTCCAGCTAGCCTGTGGTGGCAAATGCCTTTAATCCCAGCACTCAGTAGGCAGAGGCATGAGGATGTCTGTTAGTACAAGTCCAGCCTTGTGTACAAAGTGAGTTCCAGGAGCTACACAGAGAAACCTTGTCTCAAGAAACCAAAAAAAAAAAAAACAAAAACAAACAAACAAACAAACAAAAAACCCTCCAGTGCTGGGCCACCTTCCCCAGTTCCAGTGATGGCCAGTCACTCTTCCTTCCTGTAACTCAATACCATAGTGTCCCCAAAGCCTCTTCTTTGTCCCCATGTCTATGGTCCACTGACTACCATCCAAGTATCTCTAGAACCCAACATCTCACCCCTTTACCCCATCCCTTCTCCCCTGGGCGAGCCTTCACCACTCCTGTTTCTGCTTTCTCCCAGCCTCTTTCAGGTTTTGCCTTGCAGTGCTAAGGATGGAGCCTCGAGCCTCACACCCACTATGTGACCTTCCATCAATTTCCCAGTTGTTTCTATTTTTTAATTGTGGAAACAATATCTCCTTAAGTTACCTAGGCTGCCCTTGAACTGCTCTATAGTTCAGGATGTCTTTGGACTTCTATCCTCTAGTCATCAATGACTGGAATAAGACTAGCCAGCCCAGCTAACTCAGTTTTGTGTTTTCATTTTGATTTAGTTTGGGTTCTCCTACTCTCCCTGTTGTTCATTTTTTCTTTGGGGTTTTTGGTTGGTTGTTTGGTTGGAACTCACTCTGTATATCAGGTTGGCCTTGAACTCACAGAGATCTGTCTGCCTTTGCCTCCTGCCTCTGTCTTTGGAGTGCTGGGATTAAAGGGATGCACCAACTGGAGAGATGGCTCAGTAGTTAACATATTGGTTGGTCTTCCCGAAGACCTGAGTTCAATTTTGAGGAACTGACACCCTCACACAGACACACATGCAGGCCAAACAATGGACATAAAATATAAATAATTAAAAAATAAATAAATGAAGGCTTGCAGCACTCCACTCTACCCCCACCTGGTGGAATGTTGGTTTTTCAAGAGAGGGTTTCTCTGTGTACCCCTGGCTGTCCTGGAACTGATTATATAGACCATGCTGGCCTTGAAGCCACAAAGATCCACCTGCCTCTGCCTCCCAAATGCTGGGATTAAAGACAAGCATCACCACCTCCTGGACTATTTTTTGTTAGTTTTGGTTTAGAATATATGTGGTCTTTAGATTTTATTGTTTTTCTTTGCTATTGTTTCTCTAGGAGACTTTGTTGATGTTTTGTTTTTTTCAGGCCAGGATCTCAGTGTGTAACCCAGGCCAGTCCGGAACTCAGATATCTGTCTGTTTCTGCCGCCCGAATGCTGGGATTAAAGGTTCGAACCAGTATGAACCGCCAGGGATTTTTTGTTCTTGTTAGCATAGATAAAGCAAAAGTGAAAAAAGAATTTCCCAAAGTGGGATAGGATCAAAGGAAGGAAATCTAAAGTTTTCTTTTCGGATTTGGTTAGGGTTTTTCCCCAAATCTGGAGACCAATTTTTTTGTTTTAAGACAGTCTCATTTAGCCTCATCTGACTTGGAACCTTAATATAGCCAGCGACAATTTTGAGTTTTGGTCCTGTGGCCTTTGCCTCCCCAGTACAAAGGTCCTAAGCACATGCTACCTTCAGGTTTTACAGAGTTGTGGGTAAAAATGAAGATTTGTGCATGATAGATAAGCTTACCTGGTGAAACAACTCCCAATCCTGTCTGTGAGAACGCCAGAGCTCAGCTCTTCCCCAACATGTTTGCTTTTTAGTTACTCCACAAATTTGCTCAGAAGACTTCAGTGGGACCTTAAAGAATTGATTGGTGTTACACAAAATGCATGGACTTTATGTTGTAGAGACAGAGAGAGAAGGAGAGAAGACCAAATAAACTCATCACTCTGATAGAAAAAGCAGGCAGATCTTCCTCTGAGTTTAATGTCAATCTGGTCTACAAGGATACAGTGAGAAGCCCTGTCCCAAAAATAAGTCAGGTTTGGGATGTTGAGACAAGGTCTCTCTATGTAGCCCTTGCTGTCCTGAAACTCTCAGAAATTTGCCTCGCGTGCTACAGGGTCTTTATTGGGTCTAAGTAGTGACATACGGAGACAGATTAAAAGAGGTCTACCTGGAGACAAGGCATGTGATAACGGGCTTTGAAACACAAAGCGAGAAACTTAAAAAGAAAAACTATATTCTGTTTTTGAACAAGCAACAGTAGTCCCACAGAAATGGGACATCAAAAAATTAGGTTAAGACTCAGAATTGTTCCTCTCCACGGAAATCTTTAGTAAAAGGCGAAAGATTTATACGATCTGAAGAGAAACCAGAGTATGCTGACAACGGCTCCGCCCACCGTCCTCAGCCGCCCGAAACTCCTGCATAACAAATGGGAACTAGATGCGCAAAACAAGTGGTCATTGGCCTCTGCTTTCGGCTCACACTCTGTCTCTCGATGCCGCATCGCTATCAAGAAAACAAAACGAAAAAGGAAAAGAGCTTATACTTTTAAAAGAAAGCGCGGATCTCTGGGCAATGCATTATGGGTATGTAAAAGACGTTCGGTCCCAAACTCCAACCTTTATCCTTGTGATAGCGCCGGGCCGCCATCAGGGGGCGGCACGAAAGCCGTATTTACTGGAGTGCACACACCAACCATAACCTCTGACTTGACTTCGGGGTCTCGAAGGCCCACCCTTAGAGGGGAGCTACTGGCGGTTGACAGCTACTGAGGGAGGGAGAGATGCTCCTGCCCCAGGATGACTCCACACCCATGAGTATTTGGGCAGCACTAACTGGACTCAGAAAGTTACTGATAAGAACTTTATAACAACAGCAACAAAACAAATAAAATAAAAGGAGGTGAGGTGGGAGGGAGTCCGGGTGTAGTAAGTTGGAGGAAGGGATGGTGGATGGGTGCTGTCTTAGGGCTTCCATTACTGTGGAAAAACACCATGACCAAAGGAACTGGGGAGAAAAGGAATTTTTTGACTTCCACTGCTTCCAGCATTGCTGTTCATCACTGTAAGAAGTCAGGACAGGAACTCAAACAGGGCAGGATCCTGGAGGCAGGAGATGATGCAGAGGCGGCGGGGGGGTGGGTGCTGCTTTTGGCTTGCTTCCCATGGCTTGTTCAGTCTGCTTTCTTACAGAACCCAGGACCAACAGCCCACAGATGGCACCACCCACCATGGGCTGGGCCCTCCCCCATTGATCCCTAAAGGATTAAATGCCTTACAGCTGATAAATCCAGGTGTTTCCTCTACTGAGGCTCCTTCTTCTGATGACTCTAACTTGGCAAGTTGACACACAAAACCAGCCAGTACATGTGACCCAAATATATTGGATAGTGGGTTGTCGTGGTCCACACCTTTAATCTCAACACTCGTAGGGGAATGGGGGGGAGGCAGGTGCTTCTCTCTGGCTGGAGGCCAACCTCTTGTACAAAGTCAGTTCCAGGCCAGCTAGGGTTACAAAGAACCTGTCTCAAAATAAATAAAGACCTTGAAAATTGTCTTCATCATTCCCTTGACCCAAATGTGCTGAGCACTGGCCGAGCTTGCCCCGGGACACAGGCCTGTGGACTGTGTGGAGATAACAACGCTGGGACATGGAGTCCTGTCACTAGCAGGTCCAGAAGACCAAAGGTGGTAAACCTGAGTTGTACCTGGAAGGCACTAGGAAGCCACAGGAAAGCTGTAAAGCAACTCTGGAGACTGAGGCAGGAGGATTGCCAGGAATTCAAGGCCATGGTGGTCCATATAGAAAGTCTATGCTAGCCTGGGATGTGGAGTGTGATTATGCCTCAGAAAATAGGAGAAGGTGAGGAGAGCCATATACAACAGAAGGAGAGGACGACTCTAAGATGGAAAACGTGACCAGATTTGGAGTGTACTTTGGTTTTGCTTTTTTCATACTCATTTTTAAAAGTAGGAGAATCAACCTACTTTTGGTGACTCCGTGCCTTTAATCCCAGCACACAGAGAGAGGCACGGAAGGCCGGCGGTGGGGCGCGGTGGGGCGCGGTGGGGCGGGAGTTTTCTGTAAATTTGAATTTACAGATATCTACATAGTGAATTCCAGGACAGCTAGGTTACATAGTGAGACCCTGTCGCCAGCTAAACAAAATGAGTAGGACATCAGAGCTGGAGTGTGGCTCTTTCCCCATAGTCTTCAAGGACAAAGGAGCAGAAGGGATGACAGAGAGCTTCGGATGGAGGAAATGGCCTTCCAGGAGATGACTTCAATAAGAGGGAGTGAGGGGAGATATATAGGATGGGGACAGAGGCTGAGGGATCACCTAATTTGCATAAGTGGCAGTCTCCTGTCACATACTGGAGTGGTGGCAGCATGGCCCTATGAAAGTGGCTAAAGCATGTTACCTAATTACCATGTGGGCTGCAGAGGAAGAGCATTTGCAGGGAACTGTGTCAAGAGTCATCCTTGAGAAAAGTCAGCCATCGGGGCATAGAGACATCCTCCAGATAAGGCTAGGTAGAGAGCGGGAAGACCCTGCTGGGAGAGAGTCCTCCATGCTGTGCTGAGCCCAGAAAGAGCTGCTAAGCTATGGTGGACTACAACCTCTGACCAGCATGGCCTCCCAACACTGGAGAGATGACTCAGTAGTTAAGAGTACTAGTTGCTCTTAACTAGTTATAGAGGACCTGGGTTCAGTTCCTAGAAACCACATGGTGGCTCACAACAATCCCTACCCTCTTCTGAATTCCATGGGCACCAGGCATGCACAGACATACATGATGGCAAAATATTCATACACATAAATTTTCAAAATGAAAGCAGGCAAGTCAGCTGATGTTTGTTAGGTCCTGTGGTGATATATTATTTATGATTTATTAAAGCTTGCCTGAAGATTCAGAAAGCAAAGTAAGCCTCAAGCTATAGAGATCAGTCAGTGGTGCAACACACCTTTAATCCCAGGATTCAGGATTAAGAGGTAGAGGGTTTTCTGATAGTTCAAGGCCACTATGGCCTATACAAGGGTGAAGAGTAACAGCTCATGCCTTTGATCCCAGCACCTGAGATCACATGCCTTTAATCCCAGCATTAGGGAGGTATATAAGACAGGAACAAGGTCTCAGAGCTGGCTTTCATTCTCCAGCCACGTTGAGGATAGAAAGACATTGAAGTCTCAGGTTCTCCAGCCACCCTGAGGAGAGGCAGCAGTCTGAGGTCTGGTGGAGCCAGGACTGACTTTCAATCAGAGGAACAGTAAGAGCCAGTGACCAACTGCTTTGCTTTTTAGATCTTCAGCTTGAAATTTGAACCCCAATACCTGTCCCTGGGTCTTTTATTTTTTGTGTACACGGTCCAGAGGTACACAAAACAATGGAAGACTTACCACCGAAGTCTATGAAGCCAGAAGCAAATTTTATTCCAGAAGAAGAAAAAAATCACTGTGGGGCACAAAAAGCTTTTCAGCTAGCTGAGAACACAGCCAGAGTTTTGGTTTCTGAAACTGTGGCAATGGGGGCAGATTTGGGGCTTTTTTATATAGCAAGAAGTAAGCATTAGGCATGGACAAAGGAATTTTTACAATTTTGAAATAAACCTAGAGACATATTGCATTTTACAGTTTTCGATTACAAGGTTTCAGCTCAACGGTTTTACAAAAAAAACCACAGCTTTATTGACACAACTAATGGTGTTTACAAAAACCCATAGCTTTCCTGTTATAGCCAGTTTCCCATAGCAGAGAAAGATACAAAACAATGTGAAGCTGAAAGTCAGTTAGAAACAACTTATTAGAAGTTAACCTAGGGGGCTGGAGAGATGGCTTGGAGGTTAAGAGCACTGGCTGTTCTTCCAGAGGTCCTGAGTTCAATTCCCAGCAACCACATGGTGGCTCACAACCAACTGTAATGAGATCTGGTGTCCTCTTCTGGCATGCACACATATATGGAGGCAGAACATTGTGTACATAATAAATAAATATTCTTAGAAGAAGAAGAAGAAGAAGAAGAAGAAGAAGAAGAAGAAGAAGAAGAAGAAGAAGAAGAAGAAGAAGAAGAAGAAGAAGAAGAAGAAG